AGGAGTCTGCTTCTCCCTCTGACCCTCTCCCCCCATGCTTTCTCTCTCTCAAATAAATAAATAAAATCTTTAAAAAAAAAAAAAATCATTCTAAATCCTCCAGTTTTAATCTACTGATTAGATATCAAGACATTTTCCAGCAATCTATAACCATGACTTCAATATCTTTAATATTTTCATTGACAATGCTCATGAGGAAAGAGCAAAGTTCAGCATACAATCAGCAAAACCTCCATCTGGGCTATGCTAAGCAATTAATCAATACATTCTGGATTTGGCTATTTGGCAACTATATTCAGCAGTACTGTCACATTATTCACAAAGATGAGTAAGACAGATATAATAGATACATAATAGATAGATAGATATAAACTTATCATGTACTGTGTAGAAAACAAGAGATATTAGGTTATCATTCAATAAATTCTTATGGTGCACCCGTTATGTGGACAGTCCTGTCTTCAAACTAAAAAGGAAATGGTTTATTATGACATATTCTTTGTGAACCATTTTGATTCATATGGATTACTATAAATCACCATTAAATTCTCTAAAACCATTTTTCTAATAAACTCTGCTAGAATTTGCTGAAGATCAATTTGAAGCACACTGGGCAGTTGTTTCCAGATTCTGCCCTTTTCCTAAATGAAGAAGTCAAAACATTTGTATTTCTCACAATTTTCTGGCAAGCTGTTCTGCATAATTTCTCTTAGATAACCCCAAATCTGCAAGTTAATACTGGCTCTATTTCCCCTTATTCTACACACATATTAAAAAGAGAGAGGGAAAAAAAAATAAAAAGAGGAAAGGGACACCCAGCTGATTCAGTTGGTGGAACATGTGACTCTTGATTTCGGGGTTTCAGTTCAAGCCCCACAATGGGTATACAGATTACTTAAAAATAAAATCCTAAAAAGAGAGAGGGAAATCTTTTTTGTGTGTGTGTCTCTAGCATTTTGGAGACTTTTAGTACATTCTAAGTCTTGAAACTTAAGATGGAAAAATAACTCAGTGCAGATGATATTAAGTAATTATTATTCCTACTTTTCTAATATATATTCTTCATTATATGCCACTCTTAATATTATTCCTATTTTTCTAATACATATTTATTCTTGATTATATGTTGCTTTATAATTATATATTACTCACAAAAATCATATTATGAATATTATTTTAAAATCTGGGTTCATCTGAAAGCTTTCTGTTTAGCCATTTTGATTTCTTTAAATCATTTTTCTTTCTCATTGGTATCATTCATAATTATACGCTTTCCTCTTTCTAAGATCTATATTCTCATTTAGAAAATCTCTAGTTTTAAACTATCCAAGAAATATTTTAATTGGCTTTCCAAGAGTATACAAGACATATTTGGATATACCTAGTAATTATTTCCCTTCTTATGAATTTAAAGAATGCACGGTCACCTTCTCCCAAGGTTCCTGACCCTTTCACATTTGCAGACAATTTAGCCTAAAATTAAGACCAAGAACAGTATTTTCCTTCATTACTTTCTCTAACATGTATAATATGAAATTTCAACCCCTACAACAATATTCTATCCTATGCCAATTAATTATATAGTTTAACATTTGAGTAACTTAACAGTTGTCCCATTCTTTCTTTCATGTGTCTGAATCTTGTTTCTCTAATATAACTTAAGTTTAGTGAAAGCAAAATACTACCACAGAGTATTACTCTATCTCTCACAGTACTTGCTACAATGTTAGTCATACAAAAGATGCTACCAGAAAACCACTTTCTGATTGGAATAAGGGTCATTATATACCTTTCATTACAGATAAGCAGTGGCCACTGAATGATCCAAATAAACATCAGCATGAAGTACCCCATTATGCCAAGGTTAAAATAGGAGCAAGGAATAAAATCACAGGAAAGCACTGCAAAGAAGCCTTTTATTTGGGTTTAGCTAAACCTCGAAATGAGGGGGATGTAGGAGTCAAATACTTCAAAAGAATTCTGAGGAATAACCTGGCTCCATCCTAACAAATTTTTCTTTTTTCAAATTGTCTACGTACCTTATAACATCGTGTATGGCAAGGCACTTTAAGGTCAGAACTACAGATGTCAAACTAGTTCTCTTAATCTCAGGGATCACATGGTCAGGCATACACTGGTTCCAAAACTCTTTACTATAGATCCGAAAGCATTTTCCTGAGGAAGTCCTGCCAGCTCGGCCGCTTCGCTGTAACGCCTCACTCCTTTAGAAGAAAAAAAACCAGAAGGCCCCAAAACGTACTGGAAGTTTTCTAAGTAGCTAACATCATACCCCCAAACCAGTTAAAAATGACCTAACAAACTGTTCTTTGAACAAAAAAGCTTGGCATAGAGACTTACTTTGAAATTGGAACCACCTCCAGGATGTCCAACCCTAATCTTGGATTGTGATTTAACTGCTTCACAAAGCCACCATCTACCACATATCTAAGAAGAATGAAAACCAGTTAAGCTTCTAGAAAATAAGACTTGTTGATTTTTAACCACTTTGGATTCTCCTTTTCTACCAAACTAACAACTACATGATGACTTTTATATTAAATGTAAAACTTGAAAGTCAAGAAATGAGAACCCCTGTACATCACTAATGGAAATGTAACATGGTTAAGCCAATGTGCAAAATGGTTTGAAGGTTCCTCTAAATGTTAAACACAGAATTATCACATGACCCAGAAATCGCATTCTTAAGCATATACCGCAAAAGAACTGAAACAAGTACTCAGCCAATACCTGTAGACATATTTTTATAGAAGCACTATTCATAAGAGCCAAAAGGTAGAAATAACCTAAATGTCCATTAACCATTAAGGGATAAATGGATAAACAAATTATGGCATATACATATAATAGAATATTATTCAGCCATAAAAATGAATGATGTGTTGACACAAGGTTCATCAATGTGGATGAACCTTGAAAGCATGATAAGTGAGAGAAGCCAGACACAAAAGTTTACACATTGTTTGACCATTTATATGAAATATCCAGAATAGGATCTCCATAAAAACAGAAAATAGGCTGGTGGTTGACAAAGGCTGGAATGGAAGGGGGCCTGGGGAGTAACTGCTTAAAGGGTATAGGGCTTTATTTTGGGGTAATAAAAATGTTTTAGAAGTAGACAGAGGTAGTGTTAGTGTTTGTACAACACTGTAAATGTACTAAATACTAATTGTTCACTTTTAAATGTTAATTTTACATTATGTGAATTTCTTCCCAAAAAAACAAACTTGGAAGTCACCTCTAGACCACTCTAATAGGCTTAGAATCTAATTTCCAGGTAGCCTTTAACAACACCATTTAAGTCACCTAAACAGAGAACAAGTCAGGTAAATAAGTTAGGAATAGTAATAAGTCTACCATTCACTAAGGGAACATTCCAAAACTATTTAATGATTTTAGCTTTGCTGGAAACAAAAAATTACAGAGGTAAACTTACTCCAAAGAAGTCAAAGTCCTTAGTGAAATAATTATTTTTAAAGTAAAGGAGAAAAGCAAAGGAAATTAAACTTTCTCTTAGATCTGGGTGATCATTTTACCCAAAAGAAAGATACAGGATCTTTGAGATTCAGGTACAGCCTTCCTGTGGCAAACAGATAGACTTTTATAATTAAGGACATAAAATATATTGGATAAAAGATAAATATCCAAAAGGGCTGTGGTTCAATACACTAAAAGAACTTCACATTAACCATCAGTCTAGACTTAAAATTTCCCAGTGTTTCTCCACTACATTTACCCAAAAATTGATGGCATCATTGATTACATCAAAAAAGAGACTCACATTATAGTTCATTTCACAAAAAGGTGAAAAGTGAGAAACAGTACCTTCAGCTAAACACTGGGACATACGACCCCACCAAGTGGAGGTGCCAGATGAGAAGGGAATTATCATATCATCTTAGGTATATGGTGATAATGAGTACAGAAGAACAGCTTTGGCTTTCTATTCAATGAATAATGAATAATGAAACCCACGAAGCATTACACATAATCTTAAGTTTGGGAAGAGAAAGCTACAAATTGCCAAATACAAGTAGTTAAAAAGTATGATCAGGAATACTATGTGTACCTCCTACTCCATTTCCTAATCATGGCAAACAATAATTATAAAAAATAGTAAGTGAATGGGGCGCCTGGG